TATTAAAATGATATTTCTGTTGCTAAACTGATGTTTAAAAACACACCAAAAATCACAAATAATAGATTCATTCAAAATCTTTTATAGAGCATCTTATATAGAGCACAGTGCAGTAAATCCATCTTTGTTGCAGTGGTAGTGCAGGGTAAAGTTTATGAATAATACCCTCTCAACGAGTCCCTGTCAATCTTGTGATTCCAATCAATATTTTCCCACAGATGTTGATGATTCGTGATTGATTCACAAATCTGGCCTCATATTCCATTAGGTAACACCTGTGTTTTATTATGAATGTAGATTAGAAATACATTATGAGTACAGGTCACTTCGTACCTGTACATACAGTAACCTATGCCTTTATTTGTACGCGGCCCTCCGAGGAGTCTACGTCTCAGTGCTGACCCTCTGGTCTCATGTTCTCCTCCTCCTCCTTATATTTACTCCTCCCACGCACACAATCCAGAACCATAGGTGAACTTCCTACAGGAAATTTGGGGGCGCCTCGGAGAGAAAACTCCACAGTGAGAGAGAGAGTCAAACAATTACAGTGAGGAACTGCTCTCCTGACTCAGGATTAATTAAGTCATGAAGCCTGGAGAAACAAAGCCCAGATAAGGGTAGGTCAGCAAGACAGGTTCAGACAAAAATTAAAAACAAGCGTGTGAGAAATGTGTCTGTCCTGTGATGACTAACATGTCCACATTTATCCTTTAATACGTGTGGGGGCGGACTTCACGGTAGTCTCTTTGTCTCTTAAGGTGAGAAGGTTCCCAGTGTCGAGCAACCACCAAATACTGAGTTAAGCATAAACACTGACTCACTGGGAACAGAATAAGTGCCAGGACACTCTTTACATGTAACTCAGTGTTCATGAATAAGAACGCCTGTGTTTACAGGTTAATCCTCAACACAACTCAGAGAACACACAGATCCAGAGGGTTAAGAGGAATGTGGGCACGCAGGTGGTACAAACAAATCCAACCTACTGAACTCCAGGCGGTGGCCTCATTTCACTGGGAGAGACTCAACCAAAACATCTTATCTTCGGCCGTGCTGACTCATGGAATTCAGCTGTGGCCAATAGCCAGGCTGCAGGGTTACTTATGGCTGTCATTGATTGGTTGATGGCTGAGCACAGAGCTGAAAGGGCACATACCAGGAACACAGCCTGAAGCAGGAACTGGCAGCAGTTTGCTCCAGTTTTAACCTCACTCTCGTTCTTTCTCACAGCTTTTTCTTTCCTGCTCTGACTCAAGACGTACTTTGTTGTGTCTCACTCTCCGACTACTCCCTGCTCCAGCTTTTCTGTCTTAGCATCGTGTTCTTTCCCCGTGACCCCTTGTCCACGTCTTGTGTAATTGTTTCTGGAATAGCAGAGCAGGAATACTTGCGTACAGAGGTCACCATTCCTCTGCTGCTCACATCCTGGTTCTTTATCTCCATGGTCACCGTGGCTTTTTTTTACTCCCACAAAGAAACACGATAGCTAGTTTAAACTGCCGTTTAAACTGCCGCCACCGTTTAAACCATTATTCATATCTAAAGCAATTACTGTCAAATAGCGCCGTCCATTAATAATGCATTTGTATAGGAAAAGTAATACTACGCTAAAGCAACTTTAGCGTACAAAATTAAAGTAAATTAACTGCTTGATTGATTTCGCACGCTACATCGATAATGCAACTAACTGATTTACTTGAACAAGTGAATGCCCATTAGAGTGTTAGCCACTGTAGTTAAAACGATATAAGTCAACTTGGGCAAGTCTTTTGTAAGACTTGGTCAACCACCTTCTTTCCTAAGTGTTACGTTAGAATTTTTTTTTTTTTTACTAAATTGGGGCTCAGAATAAATTATAATTTAGTCAAAATACTTAAGAGTGAATAAAATATGGCCATCCAAAATAACACTAGTTTCAATTTATAGTTAGCGTTTCAGGCATTTCTGCAAGCTCAACATAACTGAGATTTTAATTATTCTGAGTGACTGTATGGTGGGTGCAGGGCTGATGGTTTGTTTTGCCTGTTTGTCCACTACTCTGTTGTCCTTGATACAAGATCAATGTGTCATTTTCATGTCTATCACAACAGCCCTGGTTAATAGATAACTCCGTCCTCCACCATAGTCCAGTGACCATAGCTACAAGAGTTAAAACAGACGGACACACACTGCTGTGACACAGGCTCCTAGCAAACCCATATCCTCGAATCTGAACGGAGCAAGGGAGCAGCAACAGTGAGAGGAGAATAGAACCACAGTTCAAGTGAGGCAGGCACACTTTCTAATGGAAATTCAGATACAATCATCCCAGAATGCACTTCTCCCGGCCTAATAATCGGCCACTAGAACAAGGCGGCCATTGAGAGAGGAGAGTGACTGTAATCGGGTCCACCAAAACTCCAAAGCCGCTCGTTATAATTAGCTCCTTTCTCCATCAAACACAGGCTTACACTGACTCGCGAGCAGCCGCCTCCTGTAATACACGAGAGGAGAATCTGGCAAACGGCACTTTTTCTGATGAGTGGGGAAATTTCCCCATCCCTTCCATATGGAGTCATCATGCATCAATGGTTACGCAAGGTGTGGATTTTTTTTTTTCATTAGAGCAGGTAAGAAGCCACTGGTACTGTGGCATGTGGTATGTTTTCAAATGGAATGGTTTAAAAAGATCACTTTGTCGTACTGACGCAGAATGTCTTGGACCAAAAAGTTCCTTTTTCAAAACATGGCTGACCCTGTGTTTATCTGTCCACAATATATAGGGCAGACACTTTCAGCCTCTCTGCCATAGAATACGTCCGCATCTCTGACCTACATCTGACAAGCGCAGCCTGCCTTTCTCTAATCCTAGGAAAATGTTCTGGCCCAGAGACTCATAAAACAATCCACAGCCTGAGGGAAGACAGACGGACACACAGACAAGCAGGAGCGGGTACCAAGCGCCTAGCCTGCTGCCTGGGCAAAAGGCATAGCTATTAGGGGAAAGAAGAAGCTTCCTGGAGAGGTGTGACCAACGTGCAAAGGGCCCAATCAAGCTGGAAACACGAGTGTCGACAGCTGCTAACACATTTACCTGAGAGCAAGGAAGGTGCCTACCAGCAGAACTGTTGCTGTTTGTCAGTGTGTTTACTTCATCCTCAGCCCGATCCTCCTATTAGGGTTGATAAGGTTGAGAGGAATAGAAACTGAGCACTCACAGACAGAACATTGGCAGAGACTACGGACTCATGACTCATCTCAGGCCTTGTTCGCAAACAGCACAAACATGTGCCTTGGGTGATACACCAAGGAGGACAGTCCTTGGTACAGATGTGTATGCAACAAAGATGTTGCATACACATGGTACAGATGTGTATGCAACAAAGATGGATTGTTTTCTTGGCATTCTACGCACTAATGTGCCCCGATCCAAGTTTAAGGATCACAGACTCCACTGACGTCCTTCTTGTAAACAACAGTATGTGCTCATTAGTAAGCCACTGGCCTCATGCACAGGCAAAAATTTCAACAACACCACACTTCATATACACACATACGCACGCACACAAGTTACAAATGCATCAACAGTCCCGGGCTAATTGAATTTGCCTGGAAGACACCGAGGAATATAATCAGTCTGGATTGTTTTGATTTATAGCCGTCTGCTTTCTCCCACTATATTAACGTGCTTAATCTTTGCAAAAGGAAATGGTGTACATGTTCACTTGTAAATACTCCAGGGGAAAGAAGCTGAGTTATGAAAAGTCAGTGGAGTAGTTAGGCCGTTGAAGTGGCCTGAGCTAAGTTTGATGAAATCACCAAAGAACACATGAAGGAAAAACATGAAGTTTTCTCTCATGACACAGCAGTACACACAGACGCCCTCGGTGTGAGGAAACATATCACATACCTACAGACATCGACTGACTCATGTCACACTGTGAAAAAAATCCTGAGTCAATATTTAATCAATATTAAGGCGCAGGGTCACTTAAAAAAAGAAAAGAAAAAGGGGCTGAAGTCGCGTGGAAGGACTGACAGAAAGGGAGTGGCTGATGGGGAAATGAGCAGTTTGCAGCAGAAGGAAAATTAAGCCTGGCACCCTGTCCTGATGACAGTATTTCTGAAACTAAAGAATATCATTAGTCAGGGTGATTGTGACCATGACGTCATTCTAATCGGCTTATCTTTTTGTGGCAGCGTGAACCATTACCCAGAGGATAAACGTAAACTTCTTCATCTGATAATATAGTCTCTAATTTAGACACAGTGTGACAGGTACAGTACAGCAGGACGGAAACAGATCATAACGTCAGGGCTCACCATTAGGTAACAGCAACACTTGGAAAAAGTTGTATTATAATGACTCAAAACCTGGTGTGTTTGACATCCATTGGCATTGGGATAACTCTCATTGATCAACAGTGCACATTTGGAATTTAAAAAATCTAAGCATATCTGTACAAAAATCTAATTTCCCCAGCCACCAATCAAAAGCCAGATTTAAGGAATTCCGGTGAGTCTTTACTCTCTAGTCCCGATAAGGCCAATGCATACCAGGTGTTGTTGTGCAAACAATTTCAACGTTTGGACATGATCCATTTTATGACCTGCTTTTCTCCACTATAAACTTGCCATTAGAAACAAGCCCAGACAAGCTCTCCGCCTCATTAGAGCAGCTGCGTCGGTTCCTATTCTCACCCCATGTGACGCGGCATCAATAATCATTATTATAATTTTTTTTGTAATTATTATTTTATTATTATTACTCTTATTATTATTATTAGGGGTTTGTTAGACCACACCAGCTCTGAGGACTCAGGTTGCCTCCCAGTTTTCTTCTTCTTTCCAGTGCATGCTGCAGTGTGTGCAGAAGTGAACGCCTTTTAAAAAATAAATAAATAAATAAATAAATAAAACGGAAAGCCCGTTTCTCTAAGAAAACACTTTCGCTCTTTAAAAAAAATCCTATTTCCCTAATGGTTTTAGTGTGTTAAAAATGCAGAGTGTGTCCTACATACCATAGCATTCCTCTGTGTCCAGCACTCGTCCACTCCTTGTCTTCCTCTTTCTCTCTCTGCGACTCACAGCCGGTGAAAAGACTTTTTAAAAAGCAGAGAAAAACACTCCCTAACACCTCTCACACCGATGAGCCCGCTCGGTTTTATTACTATTCACTCTGTCATCTTCCTCTTCGGCTCGAACTTAATTTCTCCAGTTTGAAGTTTTCACATGGATGTGTGTCTCAGTCTTTCTCTCAGAGAAAAGAAGTAAATTTCTCGTTAAGAAAAAAAAAACCTCTTCAAACTCTAGTCTTTTCAACAAGGCTGAGCCAAAAGGAGCAGAAAAGGCGTAGAAGAAGAAGAAGGGCAGAGACGCTGGAAAGCGGTGTTCCCCAGTGTTTTTCCTTCTTTCTTCGCCACCACGTTGTTTTGAGCAATTATTATTTCCTTTGTTATGTCAAAAATAAAAGCGTCCGGATGGAAACACGATCGCAGTCACCCTGCTTTCGTCCAGCTGAAAAGAAAAAGAAAACCGAACACAACCACTGGGTTCTTTAAACGAACAACAGCTCGGCGGAAACCAACCGTTGTTTTCCTTTCTTACGTTACAGCCTTAATGTGTGACAGTGTGTATGAGTCTCTTTTTTTCAGCTTCCCGATAATGGCGGACCTTCTCCTGAATCCAGCTTATTCCCTCCTATTCACACACACACTCACTCACTCACAGAGAGAGAGTCTCGCCCAGTGGTTCATGGACACAATTACAACACACACCGTCAACTCCGCGTTGACACAATCACTTATTTATATCGATTTTAATTGTTTTATTTCAGCTCATTTTCACAAATAAAAGCAATAAAAGCAAAAAATCTATTTTTAAAAAACCCGATAGTCATAAACATTCTTTGCCTTCACACCATTATTGATTCATATCAATTCATATTCTAGTAGGTGTATGAATGACCAATGAAATGAAAAAGAGTGCTGAAGGTATTTCAATATGTGGATTGAAAGCATTTACATTTGCAAATGCAAAATTTGTTTTTTGTTGAATTTTTGCAAATTTGCAAATTTGCATTTGCAGTGGTTTGCAAAGTGTGGGGTGCAACTCCATTGGGGTACACCTGAGCTAAGCAGAGGGACAAAGATAAAAAAAGTGCAAAAATCAAAATTGTTAATGAACTACTAATTTACACTAGAGGCTGTAAATTAGTATATATATATATATATCCTGCCTCGTCCCTCATCTTCTTAGGAGTCTGTGGTCTAAATCGTTCGCTCCACTCTGGCCATTAATAGAATAGTCATTGTTGTTTAGCGTTGTTAGACTATGACTATGACTATATGGATGATTCTTACAAGGTCCTCAGAAGAACAAACTACTTGTTTTTAATTTTTAATAAAAAAAATTATATATTTCAACAAATATGTGACTCCATTCACCGCTAAATACACATTTAGAGAATAAATAACTTTAATGCTCGTGCTGCTTGACCCCTTTACTTTCAACTGCTGGTGTTCATTTACTAGCTTTTCATGCACTTCTATTAATGTCAAACTGTCCTGCTTTATTTTGTTGCGACACCATTTTACAAGCTGAGCAAGAGGAATGCAAGTACGTAACCTCAACTGCGACATATTACTTTACTTCAGTTTGGTCCATTTGACATCTTTTCTCCGAATTTTATACTCACTCCCTTTTTTTAGTAAAGAGGACAAACTGCAGTATTCATCACTGACTAACACATTTAGATGTTCCCTGGCTGCAAAATATATTTTTGTATGTTCACAAAAGGAAGATGACCTAGGCAGCATTATATATATGAGATGCACATATTATATGTATGTACGCTGTTTATTTCTCAGGCTATTTGCGGAGAATTAAATAAGTGTAGGTTGACGTTTGCTTTTGCATAGGGAGGGGAGTTTCAGAACACAATGCAATTACAATAATCTATTTGGAAAACCAACTGTCATGTTGTACTAGACAACTGCCTGTAGTAACAGCACAAACAGATGTTCAGTGTCTTGCACGGGGGGGCTGTCTCCTGGAATTTTCCTCTCCTTTTTCTTGTTAGTCCATCCGTGAACCGTTGAAATTCACTGCCTCTACAATGATTTACACGCTGTGAATGATCAAAACCAACACTTTATAAAACTGTTAAACCAAATGTAATACTTTAACAATAGAAACAGACACTAAAGAGAAAATATTGCACATCTGAACCAAAGCTGTCATTATATTAGAGTCTTCTCTTGGTTTAAATGAAAGCAAAATACATTGGGCTCTAGCCTCGGGATCTCTCTGTAGCACGTGTAAATTAAAGAAAATGATTGCAATTAAATTATGTCATCCCTCTGTGAGTTTTAAATTATGATGTTTAGGTTAAACTGTGTGCTTTGACAGTTTGAATTGTGACCTGCCATTACAAACTGTGCCAGCCAAGGTTCAAGGTGCGTTTTTGTCTGTTTAACTAAGTACACAAGCTTCTGTCCAATCACACGAGCAGATGTTTTCAGCAGTATTTGCATGACCTCGACAACACAAAACAGATTAGCAGGGGTCAAAGTTTTGGATAAATAACCTCCAACTGCATCACATATCTTTCTTATAGAACTGATAAGAACAGACCTTCAGTTTTATATCATAACACATGCTGTTATCCTGCTTCCACAATAAATATATGATATGGACTGGTTGCATGTAGTAGGAAAACACTGCTGCAGTCATTACGCAAAAAGTAAAGATCTCAACAATTATCATTAACTCTTTCGTTGGTTTTCCATTTTACCCTTTTTTTCTTCTACTTTAACCCGCTCTGTATTTGCAGCAAAATAACTTCTAGGTCTCAAGGGTACGCACATTCCTCTACTCACAGTTGCGCAATCCATGACATCATGGTTACCCCATCCCCCCCAGACTCTCTGAAAGTCCTGAGCACTAGGGGAGGCAGGGTGTCCAAGCTGTCTGAGTGATGTTCTGTGTCTCCCATAACCTACTGGTAAACAAAACCTGAGACCTGACTCAGCATAAAACAAGCACAGATAAAATAACAGATAATGATGGTGAAAATACATTCTCTATTTGTAATCTTTTTCCAGGTTCTTCTTAATTCTAGGATGTGTGTCACACACGTTGCACACAAAATCAGACACAGTGGTGTGTACTTTCATCCATAGCATGGATGAAAAGCAGATATAAAATGGGTACTGAATCTACAGTATCAGTAATTACTGATACAGTACTGAACTTTAACCAAGATGTAACAGTGTTGCAGACAAGTATAATGTAACTTTAATATTATGTTCATTTCTAAAACACACAAAGAGAAATAATAAATCAGGTCGTAATCTGATGCTAAAGACATCCTCCAAAAATGGAATTCTCAGATGGGAACATTGTTTACAAAAGCCATAAATTATTATTATTATTATTTACAAATAAAGCTTCTTACTCTTCTTAATCTTATAAAGCACCAAATAATGTTGGAATTCTGTTTCATAAAATAAAAAATGTAAACTAATTTATATATAATTATATATAATTACTCTCCTTTTTTTCCTATAATTTTATTATTATTATTATTTAATTAATTTTACAAACTCGTTCTTGAATCTGAGGGAACTTCCAGTACCCTACGATAGCACGTAAAGGCAACAGCACCTTCCGCCAGAAAACTCTTTTGCTTCTCATGTGACACGGAAAATGACAAACTACAGATGAATTCTGGTTTTTGTAGTTTATTAAATACGGTTCCTCTGTTTTCTATGAGCAACAACAACTACATTCCCGACATGCAACGCGGTTTAGCCTGGCGTAAGGTTTTCCTGTTAGCTCCGGGGGAAGATAGCGGACGAGCGGTCGACACAGACACCTGATGTGTTTATCTAAAGTCTGAGTGAAATTGTTTAGGATCGTCCGTGGACTGTCTTAGTCCCTGTCTTAGCATACTACAATGGTAAATATATATGTTCTCTTTTAAACAGGTTTTAAAAAGGTTTTCATTAGAACGTTTAGGTTCAATTTTCATTCAGTCGGTGCTCGTAAGCTAATTAGCTAGTTGATTTAGCATTGCAAACCTATGAGGCCACCGATGTACAAATCAAGACAGCTTCCCCGACATCTAGCTACAGATGTGGACATGAAGCAATGCATGTCACACACAATTAAAAAAAAACTTGTCACAGTTGTAGTTTACGATGTTCGTGGGCGCGGTCCATTAGCTTCAACGTTAGCTTACCAACCCCTTAAGGATTGATAATCCTTATCTACAGTAAAAACGACATTTTTGGTATATGGCGCAAAATCTAATTTTACCTTACATGTCAACATGTGATCCTGGGTGTACTTGGTTATACGAGAGGAACAGTTGTGTATATAGTACACGCGTATTAACCCAGTTGTTATTTGTGGAATAATGGATTGAAATCATAAATGGATCGGACTAAGTAGATGAAATGTTGTTTTAAATTGATGTGTCTTTTCCATTTTGTGTGGTACAGATCCGCTTCATCCTCATTCAGAACCGGGCAGGAAAGACACGACTGGCCAAATGGTACATGCAGTTTGACGATGATGAGAAACAGAAGCTGATTGAGGAAGTGCACGCAGTGGTAACTGTCAGGGATGCCAAACACACCAACTTTGTTGAGGTAATGGATCTGTCAGCGTCTTCTGCAATTGTGTGTTTCTTCTTTTATAGGCACCACAGTGCTGAAACTGCACTACTGTTTAAAATCACTGTCGTTGCTATTTCACAATGAAATATTACATGACTCCTCAGATGTTATTTGTTATCAAAAAAGACTCATGTCTTACTAGTTTCGCGAGTACATACTTTCAGTAGTTTTCCCAAAGTCCTAATGCGTAATTTTAATTGATCTTGAATTGTAAGATTAGATTTTGAATTGGTTTACTTAGCTTAAATGCATTAACTTTTGTTTTTATTGCTGTAGATCAGGGTCTATGGCTAATGAACCAAATGTGGCTCCCTAAAAAAAACATTTACCTGATGTATCACATCAACCAGTATTTTGGATTTATTGTGGGTTTCTCTGCAAAATCATTGGTGTAAGATCGACACACATTAGCCCACAGGAGAGTCAATACCTCCGCTATGTTCTCCTACATGCTCAAACTGAAATGAAACGCTGAAGGATTGTCACCTCTGTGTGAAACCACGGGTTTTTATGCTGGTCGTATCATTTTATTTAGTTGCATTTATCCACCACACCTTAAAGGCCGCTCCGTGAAAAAAGAAATTCAGACATTTAACCAGTCTGTGGCACAAAAAAATGTTGGGAACCGCTGTTCTACATCACACCTAAAAAAAAAATCAGTCTGTTTTATTGTCGTCTTTTGCAAAGTCCCACATTCACTGTGTTGTACCTAAGCTCCCAAACTTAAGCCTGTGTAAAGTGTGTGTTATTGTCATAACAAATGCAGAACTGTTGAGAACCCACATCTGTGTTGTTCCCACAGTTCAGAAACTTCAAGATCATTTACCGGCGTTATGCCGGTCTCTACTTCTGCATTTGTGTGGACGTGACTGATAACAACTTGGCGTACCTGGAAGGGATCCACAATTTTGTTGAGGTAAGTGACTCCCGACACATGATGTAAAGATTAAGTAAGTCAACTATGATGATTCGCTTCTCGAGGTCCAGTTACTGTCAGGAATGTCTGTTGATGATTGCTTACAAGATTTTCTGTTCTGTACTGTTCTGCTTTTGAAGATGAAGAAGAAGACTGTAGACTCAAATGTCTACAGGCTTCATCTTCATCTTCAAAAGTTTTGTGATGTCAGACGCTTCAAAGATCTGTGATTGGAAAAAAATAGATCTTGTTTTTTGTTTGTTTATTTTGTAAGTAATTGTTAAAACTGGTTAAAGTTGGAATGAAAATTAGCATTAAGAGTGAATTATTCCCTAAGATTAAATACACCACAGACCATAGAAATGAGTAGAACTCAGAGGAGACTTCTAACAAACCGAGGAAACCTGAGGTTGTCTGTTAAAAGGGTTTAGAACTAATGACTGTGAAGGCATCAGCATGTGATTCACATCATATTAGACGTATGAAGCCCTTCACTTGACCACCTTATGACCTGCAGACTGTATCAGCATGTGATTCACATCATATTAGACTTATGAAGCCCTTCACTTATGACCTGCAGACTGTGACATCATACTGTTTCCCAGCTCATACTCAACGTTCGTGCCCCTTTGTTATTGTTTTTTTAATCTAATTTAACTGTTGTGCTGTTCAGCAATTCCAGCGTATATAATTTTTTTTTTTTAATCTAATTTAACTGTTGTGCTGTGCAGCAATTCCAGCGTATATAAATTCTTTTTTTACAGGAGACTTAATGAATTAGGGCAAATAGAAGAATTCTTTTTTACCATACAGATAAATTGATGCTAGACTGAGACATATTCGACACACTGTAATAATGGAATGTCAAGAGACAAAGGTCTGTCACAGTTTGGGATCAATAAACTGTTAAAGCTTCATTTATCAGCTGGAAAAAAGGAGTAGGTGACATCAGCCTGAATTAAACATGGTTGCAGTTGTAACCCTACATCGCTGCATCATTCTTTCACTCTATAAATCATAACAGAGTTGTACAAACTCTGAGAAACTACAATGGAGCCTCTGTTCTTGCACCATCCCGTTTTCCTGTGTTGCTGACAAAATAATGAGATTTCCTGCATAAAATTCCCAGCTCTAAGTCTGTGTTCATGAAGGCAATTAAAAAGTATGAAAATGTTGTTGCAGAAATGTAGAACCTTCAATGTTGTTGTCAGAATAATCAACCTAAACAGTGATATTGTAAACTTTAGGATGATCTACGTTGGTACTTTGTATCTGTCTGCTGCTTTAATTAAATAAGCCATATTTTTTTCCTGCAGGTGCTGAATGAATATTTCCACAACGTCTGTGAATTAGACCTCGTCTTTAACTTCTACAAGGTAAGGAAGAGATCACAATAGAATGAATAAATCTACAGTATGTTATTAGATTAAATGAAAGTCAAAGACATATGTTTTCCTAATATCACTGGCGTCTCTTCTGATTCTCTAAAGTCTCTTTGAGTCAGATTCATCCCCACCGTGTCGCAAACCCAGCTTATTTTTCATACGGAGAAATGTCAGACAGTCAGCGCCTCTGAACTCCCAGAGCTGTGGCCAGTTATCTCCTGCTAATTAGCTCAGGCATCTGCACATCCACCCACGCGCTGTCCTCTAACAAAGGCACGATGCTGTTTGATGCGCGGTTATTTTTACAACCAGTAGTTGGCAAATATGAGGAATTAGTGTCAGCTTCTACAAGACCAGAAAAAATGAACTCATTTGATTTACTTATTTATTTGCGGTGAGGAAAATACATCTGTAATTCAATAGCTCCTTATTTGTGCCACAGAATGAAATCCCACTTGGTAGTTTTATTTTATTTCCTGGTCTAATGAGAATAGCTGTTTTCTAGGAATTAATGTTTAGAGGAGCTTTAAAGTGACTGATGTTAAAGTGTTGCTGTAGGGAGGCGGGCCTTGGCAATATTATATATATTGCTATATATATATAATATATTTATTACAAGGGTTAGTTTGAACATAATGCTACAACTATTGATGTTCCACTGTATACCCTACCCCCCTTCTCTATGCTAAAAGGTGTACACAGTGGTGGATGAGATGTTCCTGGCAGGAGAGATCAGGGAGACCAGTCAAACCAAGGTCCTCAAACAACTCCTCATGCTCCAGTCACTGGAGTAAACACCACTCAACCATCCTTCCTACCTGCACCAGAAATAACCGATTATTTCGTCCTGTCCCTCCATCAAAGGACTCCTGATCGTTTCTCAGTTCCTACAGGTCCATCCACGACCTACAGAACATCAGGAGAAGGATGTTTAGAAGTACAGTTTTGTTTACATCTGAATATTCAATGTAGAAGTCCAGTAAATCCCTGTCCTGATGATCTATGTTTAAATATGACATACCCAGTGTTGACCATTTCAGGTTACTCGTTATAAATGCTGTACATTTCAACACGTTGACATTTTGTTACTGTCAACTTTATATTGATTTTTCTTTTGTAATCTATAGGCTCCTGCAATGTCAGTGCATTGGTAGGGTGTGAAACATGGACACACATCCATCAGTGTAACATCCCTCTCCTCATTAACCCAATTATCCTTTCAATCACACTGTTGTTACTAACCTGCACCACATACAATGACCAGCCTATGATGATTCACTACACACTAAGACTTTACAACAACCTTGAAGCCATTTCTATGAAACCATGAAGGTAATAACCTCGCAGATGCCACAGTAACTCTCTCACTACACCCACGTCCCAGAATTCCACTGAACGGCTCATGATCCAGTGCAGGGAGTTCATCATTGACTAAAGTGTGCTTGAGAAAAGGACCATTCAGATGGAATGTTGTGGCAACCTGAGCCATGGCTGACAGCTACTCTCTATATAATTACAAATATCTCAGAACAATGTTCTCTATAGTTATTTAAAATTAAGATGCACCTGAGATAAAATACGATCAGAGGAAAAGATGACAAACAAATAAGCGTTGCTGTGAAGTTAGTGCTGTCTGATGTGAAAAACCGAGTCTCCTGTTATTCTAAATGTTGTAAAGTTATCACGTCCATTCCAGAAGAGGTGTCTGTCTGATCCCTGTTTGGTCTGAGTAGGAGTTTTCTTACAAAGTGCAGTATAAAACAAACTATTCCTCCTAAAATCATAAACATATAGCGAGATAATAAAAAAGCTCAGATGTAGCGGGACTAAAATGCTCTTATTCCTTCAAAATAGTGGTTCCATATGTTGTTGATCTCTGGTATTTTTGTTTTTATATAGTAGTCAGACATTTACTGCCCCTAACATTAACCTGTGATTATTTCCAGAAAATGTTTTCTTGTTTGTTTGTTATAGCCCCTCTTTAAATACCCATCCATATATATCTTATGTGTAAATAAAATACAAATAAAAAGTATTACAATAACTTGGATGTTTGCATTGATTTATACCAAAAAAATGACACTACTACTAATAACACCCCTACTTTATATACACATTCACAACAAATGTATCTTCCTTCGTACACATTTTACAATATCCCTTTGGTCAAAGCTGAAAAAACATCTAAGAATCTTGTATTTATACGACCTAAAATAATTACGTTAAGAAATATTTAGTATTATGTAGTCATCTTATGGTTTAATCGGGACCAAATAACATTAATCGTAGGCACAGGAAACGGATGGTTAGTACCTTAGCACCATCTACTGGCTAAATATCAGACGAGCGATAAAAGCCAGCCTATAAAAGCCCAATAACCACAGTTTTACAGCCACAACGAAGGGAAGAGTGGTGGGTTTACGAGGATAATTATGCGTTTTTTACTCAGTATATTAAATTGTCTCTCTTTTTGATATGTTTGAACCTTCGAAAACAGTGTTTCCTTATGTGACGTATCTTATACTCCTGTATAGTGCCTGTGAGAAAAGTAGGCTCGGCTGTGCTAGCAAAGTGCAAACCTGTTATTTCCTGCTATTACTTTCTTCCAAACTTGAAATAACCACCGTCATAACGTACGCCCTCTCTCCTCTACTTCTCCCAATAATAGCGTCACCCTCCTTTCTCTGTGTTGGTGGAACACATCCACCAATTCCTTCTTAACTAGACGAGCGACTTAAAAGTTGTTACCTGTATAACTTTTCATGTTGAGACCGTCAATGTGTCGTAAGAATGACGTATACAGCAATGTATCATGGGAGTTCACGCGTGCGTAAGGAAGACGCTTCAGTTATTAGTTGTGGTGATATAATGACTTTATCTCATAAATTACCGATATTATATATTGTAGTTATTTACATTTATTCTCGCAAATGAACTAACTTGTATGTTAGTTCTTAGATAAAAAGACCAAGGATATTCTGTAGCATCCATATAGGTCCTATAACTACAGTATTTTAAAATGTATTTTTATTTTGCCCATTTAAATCCAGCAATACAAAAATATTAGTTTACTTTCAAAGCTTCAAACCTGATTGTAATTTGCATAAAATGGTGAAATACTTATATTGAACTCAGCCTCAGAATTGTTTCCTATTTACCAAATAACAGATTGCAGTCGTTTGGTCAAGTCTTAAAACGTTTTCAGAGGTTTTCCAGCTTGGTTTTCTCTGTTGAAGCCCCCAAGCTCTTTTTAGGTCTGATGGTCTTTAGTTAATTCCTTAGATTTTCTCTAGGTATTATATCAGCACTTCATATAGGCTGATAGAGAAAAGGGAAAATTAATTAATTAATTGAATTAATTACTAAAGAAACATCCGTCACCAAATTCAGTTTCTCACTTTGGGTCAATGTTCTTTGGGTTCAATAACTTTAAATTTCTTTTCTTAATAAAGGAAACATTTTTTAAAATTAAACAGTTCTAGTTGTTCCATCTGACTATATGATACTATAATTACATTTTTTTCAGGTGTTGTTTTAATGCTGCCATGGATTACATCTTAAATCCTTAAATCCTGTACTAGACCATGTACAGAGACATTCATGTTCACACCCACGGTCAAATTATTGTCCAATTAACTGAATCCTTCCCGTTATCATGGGAAAACCCATGCACATACAGGGAGACCGTGGAAAGCCAATAAACGAAGACCATCACTTAATGCTGGGGATTGAACCAGTGACCTCCTCTCTGTGAGGCCAGGGCATTAATCACCCTGCACTGTGTGGCTCCACCTCGGGTTAACTTCCACTCAAAAGCACATCATTGGTTTGTTTACCGGCTTCTCACACAGCTCCACTTGTGAATATGTGTTAAACTTCCCCAAATCCCCTTGTCCTTAGTTGTGCATTCATTTCACCGACAGCATAAAAGAGCAAACACAAGAAAAGCATGGTCTGAAAAAACAACAAGCAGTTTACTGAGTTTTGCATAACCGTTATTCATCAACAATACTCACCCACGTTGGTGGAGATTTACAGCAGTGTTAGGTTTTGCTTATATAACATTAGATACACGGCAACTACAGAGTTGGACTGTATTCACACGAGGAGCGGAGGAAGTATTTATAATATGGCTATTTTGGATAATCACTTATTATAAACTGTACAAATGGATGCAAGCCAGGATCTGATCCAACAACAGTCCATGGTCAGGGGTGAGGGTGAGGGGGGTCTCACTAGATCTCTCGTCTCTTCTCGGGATCTGATCCAACAACAGTCCATGGTCGGGGTGGTGGGGGTGGGACTCCACTGTATGAATACAGTAAATGTTGAAGATGACGAAGTCCATGTCCTCTCTCACAGCATCAGCGCGGAGCGACAAACACGTCAAAACTCTGACATAAGTCTCACTGATAAAGTCTCACTAGATCTCGTCTCTTCTCATAGCATTTAACATTTACACTTAAAATC